CATAGTTTTCAGTTTCCTTTCATTTCTGGATATAACTCCAGACTTTCTCAGAATGAGTATTATGCTCATTTTCAGATGTGTGTTTAGTTGTTTCTTTCGTGAATCTAAACGCCATTGTCTTATCATTAAGTTGAGTGCGTGACAGTTTCATGGGAAGGTAACAACTGCCCTTCGGCTCTCTTCAGCGTAAAAATGTCTTCTTTTGACCAACAACCATCATCTCTTTCTCTGCATCAAAGTCAATTGATTCCACGTATTGTCCGGGTGAATGAATTCTTAAGAGTTGGAAAAGTTCGTGATACCTCTGAATGTTTTTTCGTAATCTTCCCTTGCACATTCAGTGACTGTAGTAAAAGAACTTCACCATGCTTGCCATTAAACAGTTTTAGAATTGTTTATATGTTCATTATTGTGACTTAGGTTCGATGTCTTGCTACGCATTTAGGACTGTGTGAATTGCTTTACACTATGATTTGTCCTAAACTGCTGTTCTGCAGCTGAGTCACAGAAAGTTTAAGGTGTAAAAAAAATGGGAGCTTTTGATCTGAAGAATTTTCGTTCGTTTTCTCTAGTTGAGCGATGTAACAGTGTTAGTGGTGATGTGCTAAAATCTGAATGTTAAATAAGGAGATAAGGCAACCCACAAGACTGTAAGTCTTTTTCCGCCGAGGGGACTTGGACATGTATTACACATGCCAAGCTGCTGGGTTCTTCAACAAGTAATGTTAACTAAAAAACGGAACAAGGTTAGAAAGTGTTAGAATTAGTCAAACCAAGACGTGACACGAATCTGTGAACTCTTGACTGTTAGGTCGAGGCTACCACAGAGATTTAAATCGTACGGCTGTGATCCTCGATCGATGTTCTTTTGATTCCTTTGCATTCTGAGTGTATCATAGGGCTTGGAGTAGCAGTGATTTTGTCTGTTCATCATGGGTATGCTAACCTCCCTTCAACCTTCCCGCTTTCCCACGTTTACTACTGGCTAGTGAATTAGACGAGGTTTAGGAGTGTATCAATCAGGAATCGAACCTAGATGACACGCCTTGCCGGTGAGTATTACACCAATAGTCCACCAACGCACAAAAGCATACTAGCTTCGGTGATGCGGATTCAATGCGGATAGAATAATAACCAATTGTTGAAGACTATTGATTAAGTGGCTTAACACCGTCCACTCTTTCGCAGTTGTAGAAGGTAAAAGACGTCAGATGTTAATATTGTTTCATATCAGATATAATGAAAATTCTTAAGCATCAGCGAGTCGCTTCTATATTACTTTCTGCCTACATTAATGCAATTCATTGAAATATTGTGTAGTATTCAATGCACCGTGGTTTCTAACATGAAACACAATTGTATGTACTACCGTGCTAATGTGTGACGTCCATTTTAGTCATAGAACACGCGCCAATCACGTACTTGGTCTGTGGTTTGGTCCCCAACCTACTCACTCCTTAATCTCGGTCAGGGCTTCATGTCACCCTCGAACGACCTACTCGTCGTTTGATATTCGGATCTCACCCCAGTGATGACCCGCATTGCGCGTGATGACATTCTATGACCTCCTCAACTTATGCCCAATCCATCTCCATTTTCTCCTACATATTTGTTGGGAATCGGCTCTTGGTTGGTTTGTTGCCAGAGTTTCTTGTTGCTAATTCTTTCTGGCTGGCCTTGTGATCTTCAATATGGAACCGGCTAAGCCAGCATCTGTTGATCAAAGTGTCTAACTTGTTGGAAATCCTTTTGTGACACACAGTGCAAGTTTCTGACTTATATAGAAGAAGTGACTGACTTCACTTTTGTGTTGAAAATCCGAGTCTTGTTCTTTATGCTGAGTGCAGAAGGTTTCCAAACTAGTTTCGGATTGATGAAGGTGTATCTTGTCTTCCTGATCCTGTCTGCTTTTGATATCTTCATCTGTTCCGCTGGCCTGTCGCTAAAACGATTCTTCCAAGACAGGTGAAGGAAGTAGCTTCTAACAAATCTCTCCCGGTGATGTTGATTAGTGCTGTTTGTTGTTGTTGTTGCTATTGGTCAGCCATCTTCATCACCTCTTTTTTATGTTTATCTGGAGTCCACTCTGTGCTGCCAGCCTCTTTAGCCCGTTTATCGGTTTTTGCCTGCATTTCTTCGACTTTGTGTGACATTAGACATAAGTCATCCACGAAATCCAGATCTTCTATAGTCTTCTTATCTGTCCAACGTATCGCTGTCTTCCCATTCCCAGAGCATAGTCTGACGCAAAATCCAGTCTACCACAATTAGCGTTATCATCTGTGATAATAGTGGGGAGCCTTGTTTTCCTCCTTTATTTACTTCGAACGCTTTGCTGAATTTCCCGTTGTGGATCACTTGGCACGTCGCATTTTCATATAGTCATCTGTTGAACGAGGTTGATAAAGACTTGGGACACTGCACTCGATAGTATTTAAGCGGTTTTCAAATTACTTCTCAGTCAACGCTGTCTATGGAAGGCCTTTTTGAAGTCAATGCAGTTAAGGTACACGTTTGACTGCTATTCTGCGGTATGATGGGTAAATTTATCGATCACCGTTACCGAATTATATAAAGACGGCTTATCTTACCTACTAATATATATAGAAGAGAATTTGCTTAAAATCTTATACATTTCAATGGATCACATTCCGTTTCAATTTATTGACCACAACATATAAATAATCTTTATAAATAAACACGTATGTGCCCTTAACGCGTGTTTTACTCCAAGTGTTTTTCCACTTGGAACTAATATAATCATAATAAAATGTGCATTCAAAACTTAAGTTAGTGAGAATTTAAACGGCGTTTAGGCTGATTTCCTCAAAAATCGATATGATTTAGGGGAACACTAGAGATTAAAAAAGAACTAGACAGTTATTTCGTTTCTAAACAATGAGTGCTGCTTTCGAGTCGATTCCGTCTATTACAATGATTTTTATAATGTATAATCTAAATACTAATCCAGGTGCATAAGAAACCAGTAGACACGATTGTTTTTCAAGTGAGTTGGCTCAGTGGGATTTGATTGGCGACAAGTTGGATCACGAGCTGACATCAGTCAGAGAACTAGGGGGTATTGGATAGCTGTTTCTCCCTACTTCAAGACTCTTTTAGTAGAACGTACCTCCCAGTGGTCTACGAGCTCACCTTGTAATCGGAAGATCCTCCAGGGTTCTATCCCTAGTGAGTGCAACACTTGAATTAATTTGGTACTCAATAGTGAATGCCTCTGGTGAGAAGTCCCGATCAGAGGGATTTAATAAGTCAGGTAAGAGAACACTTACTCCCCGATGACATTGGCTGATGTTTGTTTCATCTCTATAGAGAATTGGCAGAAGTTGAAATTTATGGGCCATTGGATTGGGTCCCATTGGCTGCATAGTTTACGAGCTTGCCTTGTAACCGGTAGGTCCTGTGTCCAAACCGCAGTGAGTGCGACGTATTGCTGAAGGTATGTTTTTCCTTTAATTAGAACGCTCCTTCCGCCATATCACATAACAAACGTATATTATCTGCGTTTATTCGAAAATCTAATGAATTTGTGCCATACATTCTGATCACACATTTACTTGTCAATTTGATTTACGTGGGAAATGAAAAAAAAAACCATGAAAGCTTATATGGAATAAAGAATATATTGAGGGATTTTTAAAGAGTAAAGAGGATAATGGTTGTTTGCTCTGTCTTCCCTTATGGCTATAAGGCATGGTCATTAAAATTAGAATATATGAAAAAAGGTTAGTTGTCTTTGACCACAGGAACTTGCATTCTATCTTCTGTGTTAAGCGCATCAGTCTGATGATCCATATAAATAATTTGTTGTGTGATAGACAAGGATGTCAGTCTGGCGTCTGCATTTATGCGGGCTAAGAGTTGAATTATTTTCATAACTATCTGAATATATGTTCTTCCACCTTCACATTCAAAGTGCAATTACTCTTCCCTATGAATAGGTATCCACACTCAGATATAAACTCTGATAGACAATATGGAATGTGACTCAATTACTTTTATTATGTTGAAGCTTATAAGAGAACATATTTTTAGATCTTTTCAACAAATATGAACTGAGTTGCATGGTAAGTTTTCCAGAATTTATTCCTCTCGCTGTATGGGTTCATTCCATATAGACAGAGTCCATGGAGTAAACTATGAGCCTAACTTTTTTATTGCAAACTAGTCAGTAAGCTAGTGTAATGTGTCCAGTCCTATCCTCGCTGCAGACTGAATTCTATCAGTCATGTTTGCAATGTGGCCACCATGCTAGGTGGCTCACCATTACGGTGCACTGTGAATTGTTGGTATTAGATGGTTGGAGGCCATCAGCAGGAAGCCCTGTTTGGACCTAGGTTTCGTGCTAGTTGGCACTTGTCAGTCAGCAAGGCATATCTGCAACCTTGAAGGAACTCACGTTCCTTCTGAGATTCGAACCCACGTCACCCAGTGCTGCAGTCAGAGACGTTATACCAACAATTCACAGTGCACTGTAATGGCGAGCCACCCAGCATGGTGGCGACATTGAAAGCTTGACTGATAGAATTCAGTCTGCAGCGAGGACACATGACACTAGTTACTGACTAGTGTGCAATCAAAAATATCCACTACATTCCTACAGGAGGTCAATCGCCAGCCCGAATAGCTCAGTAGTAACGTCTCTGACTGCAGTGCTCACTGGGTGACGCAGGTTCGAATCTCATAAGGGACATGAGTTCCTTCAAGGTTGCAGATACGCCCTGCTGACTGGTGAGTGCCAACTAGTCCGAAACCTAGGTTCAAGGCTTCCTGTGGCCGATTACCTCCAACCATATAATACCAACAAACTATGAGCTTATCTGTCTTCTAAACCGATAGTCCATTTTTGCTCAGTATATCGGTCAGTATAGACATTGTATAGACATTCTTTCTCCAATTCAAACGTTTGTCTAAAACTGTAAGTTAATTACTCCTTTCTTCTTCTTCTCTTTCTTCTTTTGCTTCATTTCTGCCGTCTATAGATATTGATCAACTTTGTCAAAGTGGTCAGCAAAACTAATTTAGCCACACTATTAATGTCTTGTATATGTATTATAACTATTTGGATATTCAGACATTTTATCAATCCTAGAGTTACTGCGAAAATACGCTTTGCAATACCAATTGAATTGATTGTAGTAAGTTTATTTTTTTTTAAAAAACAAAAACAAATACCTATTTAACAGTATAATTGATATGCCTTCAATTTTTTTATGAATCCTTTTTCTATAGTTTGGTTTGTATGAGTTATTTTTGTTTTTTACGAGTTGATCATGGAATGATATCAGTTAGAGAACCATTGGAAACCAACCACATGGAGTACTGGAGAGCTGTTTCATCCTAGTTTTGGAATCATCAGCAGTACTCACCCACTGGTTCGAACCCAGGACCTTCCGGTAACAAGTCAAGCTAGCTCATATACCGTTCAGCCACTGGGACCCGATTCAATGGCTAATCCATGAATTCTTACTTGTACCAATTAGTGATTTAGCGCGACCCAAACCAATGTCCTCGGTGGGACATCCATCCTCACACGTGACATCTGGATGGACCTCACTGGTCACGACTTCTCACAAGAACTCCAGGAAACTCCATCCTGTAGCAAGTCATCAGCGAGCATCAGATTAATTTTCTATAGTTCGGTTTGTACGGGCTGGTTTTATTTTTTACGAGTTGATCACCGATTGATATCAGTTAGAGAACCATTGAAAACCTGGGTTCGAACCCCAGTGGGTGCGTACTGCTGATGAATCCTTTTTCCCTAATATTTTTTGCATCAAAACAATTTTAGTGAATAGTGTAAGATTTATCTCATGAATTTTACCTGGTAGTGTTATTATAGTAACTAATTTTCAAGAATTAGTTTGCAAGGATCGTAGTTGTTCCAGGTTAGACCACGGATTGGTATAAATTAGAGAAGCATTGAAGACCAGTGCTGGAGTAATGTATAAAGGTGCCCATCCGGTGGGTTTCGAACCCAGGACCTTCCAGTTACAAGTCAAGCTAATATATCATTCAGTTACCGGGATCTGATACGAGCTTACCTTGTAACCGGAAGGTCCTGGGCTCGAAAACCACCGGTTGCGTACCTTTGTCCATTACTCCAGCACTGGTCTTCAATGGTTCTCTAACTTATACCACTCCGTAGTTGGCCAAGCCTGAAACAAAACAATCCCTACAAACGAATTCTTCGAAATTAACCTGATTAGCGCTAATGACTGCCTACAGTACGAAGTTGCCTCGAGGTCTAGTGAGCAGTCATGACCAGTGCGGTTCATCCAGTCAGCAATGAGAATGGAGTTCTCACCTATAGCATTGGTTGGTAGTCGAGCCACAATCAAGAATTCATAGGAGTTAGAATTCATGGGCTGGCCATTGAATTGGGTCCCAGTGGCTGTATATTAACTAAGTGTACGTAGATACAATTATTATTTAACTCCACATTATAACTAAGGAGAATAAAGGTGATTGAAATTTTCCATTATGAATAAAATTTATTTTGATAAAGTCATACAGTGTTATACAGTGCTATTTACTGATGACAATGCTTCGAGCAGAATTTATTGCTGCTAGTAATCATATCAAGGCACCACTCACTCAACTTTCTCGCTTCATTTATGTGCATGAGTAAAGGAATTAGGGTTGTATTCAAACTTACAAACTCACTGAGGCAGGACAAGCTCTGTAGACTACAGGACCCGGCTGGCCCTTTTAGACAAAATAATATAATTTGCAGAATACCTTGCAATGACTGTGAGTTAAGTCAACTAAATAGGTGAAACTAGTGAACCTGGGGTAGTCAGATTATCAGAATATAAGAATTTAGCTAAGGTTAGAACGATTGACCTCACCCGCGAAGATAAGTAATTTAGCAAAAAGCTCAGCGATTGCACTGCATGCACTAACACACAACCATACAATAGAGTGGAAGAGGGTTAAAATTCTAAGAAGTTATTTAGGTAGGTGGGGAGAGAGATTGATTACTGAATCCTGATTCATTGAGTATACACCGAACACATGCAGTAGAAGTGATTCAACAGAAATATCAGAGATATGAAAGACATTACTACCAGTCAAATCGGAGGATAATCAATAATGTTGAAATGCATTCAATTCGCATTATAACGCTCTAACAAGTTACTTATTTTTACTATAAAAACAACTTATTTCCCATCTGATTTTATTTGACTGATAACACTAATATTATTCCTAAATGTACTTTATCTTATATTGATTTTATTCAAATGTCTAGTCAGTTTTCACTCATGTATATAAATGAGGCAAAAAGGGTTGTGTGAGCGGTGCCTTGATATGCTTATGAGCAGCAATAGTTTTGTGCTGGAAACGTGGTCATCAGTAAATATTACTCAATAACAGTGTATGACTTTGTCAAATTGAATTTTATCCATAGTGGGATTTTGCTCTACAAAAGTGCCCAAGTGCCCAATTTTCAACTTGATATGAAAGTTCGAAGGTGTGAATATAGACTATACAAGGGGTTTAGAAACAAAATCACATAGAATTAGAAAATAGTTTTTTTTAACTAATACAGGTGTGAATGGGATGAGTATGTTAACAAAATGGAATAATAATGGTTTTTATAACTGAAATGAAAAATAGTGAAGGGAATGAAATGTGTAGACATTGGGCTAGTTTCTTTTAAACATACAGCTCCGGCATTCAGATGCATATGACGAGGGCTTCCACAGCAGTTGGGAACACACTGTCTGTGGTAGATTTTTGTCTACTTTGTCAATGACTCTGAATGTTGGATGAGTGAGTTGAGATGCTGTGACAGGTGTTGGCTGACGAGGTGTTCAATTATGGAGCTTCTGATTGAACCAGTGCCTCCTTTCTAATCCTGTGTAATTTTCTTTCTGAACCCCTTGTAATCTATACTCGAACTTTCATATCAAGTTATTTGTGTGGAGTTAACTAATAATTGTATCTATATAAACTTATAGTATATAAATGCGATTGTACGGCTGCTTTTGAGAATGAATCTGCTGAAAAGATATCTGTTCACCCAACTTTTTGTTCTTTTCTCTGTAATGTCCTGATGCGTGTTTTCCTCGATTTCAAGTAACTAACTGGTACTTCATCACACAGTCTGGGACTCATTTGTCTAGAGGCTCGACTTCCAATCAGTGAGTGACAAGATTCAAATCGCGTTTCACCTACTGAGGTTTTGGCAGTTAGGTAGTAAGTATCACTAGCTCTGTCACACAATTCGTCTAGCTCCTTGTCAACAGCACGGAACTGCACCGGGTTGTCACTTCACATAATGGTATATGAATGGCAATTTTAACGACATGTTTCCATTACATGAATGCATAAAGTAAGCTTAGTTTTCCTGCAGAAAAACTCACGTCTAGGAATGTTTGTTTCCTCTGCACACCTGACAGTATTTGGTATGATTTACTTGTCACTGTAGTCATGTGAGTTGTTTCTGTTGAGGATCATTTGCACAAATGCAAAGAACCGATTAGCATTAATTGTGACGAAAGATGAATGCGTCGGTGGCACAGAAGTAGAATACTCGCCAGGCAGTCACGTGGTCCAGGGTTCGATTCCTGGCCGACGCACTCACAAATTTCTCTTAGTTGGTAAAAAGGTTAGGCGTGAAACTAACAACTTCACACCATAAGAATGAAACCACTGCTACCGAAACTTCAAAGCTTTAGCTTGAAGCCTTATGTCACACTCTGAATGCAAAGAAATAAGAAAAAGGGTGAGTATGCAAATGAACAAGGTGTTTTTCCGTCGTCACCTTAAACTGATTGTTTTAAAATAAATGATTTCTCTGAAACGAAACTTTTTCACTTCTCATGATAAGTATGCAAATATTTCAGTTGTAAATTATGTCCAGTTATTCGAGTTGAAAGTTAGATCACCAAACGACATTATTTAGAAAACCTTAGAAGTATTGAACAACTGTTTCGTCCTAGACTGCGACTCTTCGGGAGTAAGCCTCGATGAATATATCAGAAGGTCAAACATAGGACTTTCACCTTACAAGATAGCCTTTCAGCTACTGGAAAGGAATCCAAAGACTTATGGATTTCAATTTTCATCAATTCCTGAAATACAGAGTCATGTGAATTGTTGTTAGATGGTTGGAGAGGGTTGGCAGGAAGCCTTGGACCTAGGTTTCGTGCTTGTTAGCATTCACTAGTCAGCAAGGTGTATCCTCAATCTTGCAGGAACTGACGTCCCTTCTGGGATAGGAACCCGGGTCGTCCAGTTGTGCAGTCAGAGACCTCATCTTCATACCTACCTGTTTTCGGTAGAAACTGTTTCACAAAAAACGTAGCTGGTTTCCTAATCCTCTACTATTTCGGTTTCTTTCTATACCTCTTGTGGTTGATGTTCATCTCTTATCTCACCGCGAACTTTCATATCAAGATGAGAATTATTATCTTCATTAAATCTCATATTAGGTAGGTTTATTTTGAATATCACACAGTGATTCAATATTAACAGGTAGATGACGTTTCGAGCACAATTTATTGCCTCTCATAATCGTATCAATTTAGTTACACGTTCTCACATTTTGTCTTATATATATTTTCCCTTTCTCTCTCTCTCTTCCTCTAACTTCCATTTGTTGTTTATTGCCACTCTCCATATCTCCGGTATAGGCGACTCTTTGCGTCATATACATAAAGCCGACATAGAACGGACAACTTACTAGCCTTCACAGTTGGGTGTCCCTATAGACAAAACGAAACGTGATCCGTTCACTGAGCCACAGAATCCGCAGAATTTTCAGTCCAGATACTATGGAAGAGCAGCTAAACACTCTGAAGAAAATCCTCCTAGAAAACGACTACCCAGAAGGTTTCGTCACAAGTTCTATGAAACCTAAACCACGACGACCGCCCCCACTTTCTGCTTCCAAAAAACTGCTCTGCTTGGATCTACAGTTCAATGGAGAATCATCGGCAGAAATACTGAGAAACCGCCTTTTCAGTTCATTGAAGAAAACCTTCTTCGCGGCTGAACTCTGACTAACCTTCTCTACGAAACCAATGATTGGCATGAACGTAAAGAATAAGCTACCACTGCTGGCCAGTCTCATCAATGTGCATCTACCAATTCACCTGCTTGTGTGGAGCTAGGTATGTCGACCGTACCC